AGAAGAAATTGAACCCGACAAAAGTCAATAGGAATTGGACCTTCAAGACCATTATTGGACATGATAATTTCTTGCAAGCATGACATATTTCCCATCCAGCTCGGGATCCTACCAGAGAGATTGTTATTGCTGAAATCTATTGAAAACAGATAGGGGCAGTTAGATAAGCTTTTTGGGATACTTCCAGAAAAGTGATTGCCATTCAACTGTAATTTCTCCAACTGGAATAAGCTAAATTTCTCAGAGAAAATCTGGCCTTGTAGATTGTTGTTTGATAGAATAAGAAAACTCAATGATGAGTAACCCATGGTTAACTTCTCAAGTATCCCACCAGATAAGTTATTGTGAGATAAGTCCAAAAACTCCAGCGACTTCATATCACCAATTGAAGGAGGAATGCTACCAGATAGGTTATTGTGAGATAAGTCCAAAAACTCCAGCAACACCATATCACCAATTGAAGGAGCAGTGCTGCCAGTAAGAGAATTTTCTGAAATGTTTAAATCTAGTAAACTGGGAAAAGATGCTCCAATCTCCATTGGAATATGGCCATCCAAGAAATTTTTGGAGATATCTAGACTTTCCAAACTCATATGAGAATGAGCTGGCAACTTAATAGTTCCAGAGAGAGAATTGTTAACCAGCGAAAGTGTCTTCAACCATGTGTTGTTTTCCAACAGCCAAATGGGAAACTCTCCAGTTAGGTTAAGGTGCGAGAGGTCTAAATACTCCAGGTTGTGTTGAGAGTAGAGGAAGTTTGGAATTGCTCCACAATCTCCACAACCAGACAAAAGTAAGGTATTTAGTTGGAAAGTTGGTTCCAAAGATTCAATGTTGGTATCTATGTAAAATTCATTATTTTCAGCATAAATATGCTTGAGTTTCGAATGGTTGAAGAATGGTTGAAGGGAGAAGGGAATTCGGAAGTGATTGTCTGAAAGGGACAAGTAATTAAGGGATGTCAATTTGTTAAGGGGTGATAGAGCTATATCTCCAGAAAATTTGTTTGAATCGAGGCTTAAGCTTAGGAGAGAAGTCAAATTTGACAAACATGAAGGCAGGGCTCCCCCTAAATAATTGTAGCCAACATCCAACTCTTCAAGATGTGTCAATTCACACAGGCCTGTGAACATATAGAACACTTAGAAAGTTAGTCATATAGCTCCAAATATATATATGTATATATAGAGAGAAAAAATGGTAAAATCTGGACGTTGGTTCTTATTTCTTTAATTTGTAACTAACCTTGGTGTGTTAAGGAGTCATTGAGTCCGCAGCCGTACAGTGATAGAACCTTGAGAGAAGTCAATGCTCCAATGTCATGAAAGAAGTTGGTTGGGAGGATAGATTTATCCAGAATCAACTCTTCCACTTTGGACAGGTTATGAAAACCTAATAAGAAAAGCAATTAATTATATTCTTGCAATCTTCTGTCATAATTAATAAATTTAGAGCAAGAACATATATTTCTAAGAAAAATAGTCTAAGAAGATGGAAAAGAAATTACAGTAAAAATGAAAATTTACCATAAAAATTTTTAGGCCAGTAAAATATAACAAGATGACGCATTTTTGAAAGGAAAAATTATAATTGTAATAATAAAATGGACATAAAGCAAGCTTACCTCTTTTACTTGGGTTCATTTTTATTTGACCATGTCCTAGGGATACAGCTTTTAAAGATGGAAAACTTGCCAAAGATGATAGGATGTTGTAGCTGAAGTTTATTCTTCCACTTAGGTCAAGCACCTCCAAATGGTCAAGTTTTGACAGTTTTTCTAAATCAGCTGTTACAAATTAACAATCAAAGCTTGTTGTCCACCAGCGTCTAATTTTGCTAAGCATATAACATAAAATTAAAACTATATCATAGTTTGAAACTAGTAAGTTGTTCTAGTTACCACTCAAGGATGATAAAACAGTATTGTCTCAACATAGAAAAGGCTCTCAAAACTCACAATACATATAATTATTTATTCAGTTTTGAAGTCACATATATATTAAGATGAAACAATAAGGAAACGGATTCTGTGAGAGAGAGGGGGGCATCTATACCATCAGCATGGCTGGATGCTTGAAATTCGTCTTCAGCTAGATATAAAAGCTTGAGAGATGGAAGCTCACTCAAAGATGATAAGATACTATTATTGGTCAACATATTATAACTTAGATCGAGGAATTCCAATTTTCTTAATTTAGAAAACTTCTCGAAACCTGCAACACGTACAATTGCTAATTCAATTTTGAGCCACATATATATTAAGATGAAACAATAAGGAAATAGGTTTCAATAAGTAAAAGGTGGATATCTATACCATCAACATGGTTGGATGCTTGGAGTTTGTTGCTAGCTAGATTTAGAGACTTAAGAGATAAAAACTCAGTCAAATACAACAAAATGCTGTTATCAAAGAAATTTCCTTCCAAGTTAAGGATTTCCAAATGGCTCAACTTCTTTGAATGCTTAAGAAACCCTGCAAGTAGAACACAAGAATTGTAATTTTGGTTCAATTAAAAAAATAACACATAAATAAAATGTAGGATAGGACAACAATAATGAGATGAATATACCAATCATATACATGTTGAAATGCTCGATCATTCATAACCACAATATTAGCTAAGTTGAACGGTAGTTAAAAACCTTCATTTTCAATATGCAACTAGCTATTCAATTAAAATTCAAAGTGAGGCTTCAATTCCTCAAATAGAAGAAACAAAGAGGCATTCAGATACATGTCAGTGAAACTACTACTATATGCTTTAGCCTGTGTGAAAGTAGGGATGAGTGAGATGACTAGTCTTATGGTGAAAGTTGCAATCAACCTTCTTCCATTGACAATAATCTGTATTTTTCCTCTCCTCTCATCCAGTTTCTTAGAGAAAAAATAGAATTGAAGAAACGTTTGAGTTGGAGGAGAGCACTTCACTATCAGTCCCAACGCCCTTGGTACCACTTCGAATCTACTAAGAAGAGTGTAAGTAGCACATACATTAACCATTGCAACTCCATCAAAATAAGCTCAGATCAACCGCCAAGTACTGCTACTATATATCTCCGGGCCATTACCAGCTATTCACTTTAGACTTTTATATACGCAAGTAAGCATCTATTCCATGATTCCAATTTTTGTTATAAATGGGTTCTGCACATTCTTAATTCAACTTAGCAGTTTTCACTTTCCACAACAATTATATGTATCCTTTTTCTTTCTCTTTGATTCCTTATTTCATTAAAAATATATTAAAAAAGATCGTAACAAATTGGCTTTTATTGAGATGAGATTATCAAGGGAAGGAAGAATTTATACCTTCATTACTAATAAATGGATTAATTATATTGAAAAAAAATCAAAATGGTAATTGAAATTATTGACTTTAACGTCTTAGCATAAAGCATAAGGTCAAAACTGTACCATAGTTTGATCCTCGTAAGTTGCTCCAGGCTAGATTTAGAGACTTGAGAGATGGAAGCTCACTCAAAAATGATAAGTTACTATTATTCAACATATTGTAATGTAGATCAAGGATTTTTAGATTCCTTAACTTAGAAAGCTTCTCTAAACCTGCAAAATGTATAATTATTAAGTTAATTTTGCAGCCACACATAAATATTAAAATGGAACAATTAGGAAACAGGTTTCTATAAGTAAAAAATGAACAATTATACCATTAGCGTGGTTAGACACTTGGAAATTGTTGTTGCCTAGATATAGGGACTTGAGAGATGATGGAAGCTCACTAAAAAAGGTTAAGGTACTAGTGTTCAATTGATTGTTATATAGATCAAGAATTTCTAGATTCCTTAACTTAGAAAGCTTTTTGAAACCTGCAATATGTAAAATTATTAATCTAATTTTGGAGCCACACATAAATATTATGATGAAACAATAAGGGAACATGTTTCTATAAGTAAAAAATGGACAGTTATACCGTTAGCATGGTTAGATGCTTGGAATTTGTTGTTGCCTAGATATAGGGACTTGAGAGATGGAAGCTCACTCAAAAATGTTAAGATACTATTGTTCAATTGATTGCTAGATAGATCAAGAATTTCCAGATTCCTTAACGTAGAAAGCTTCTCGAAACCTGCAAAATGTAAAATTATTAATCTAATTTTGGAGTCACACATAAATATTATGATGAAACAATAAGGGGACAGGTTTTTATAAGTGAAAAATGGACAGTTGTACCATTAGCATGTTTAGATGCTCGGAATTTGTTGTTGCCAAGATATAGGGACTTGAGAGATGGAAACTCACTCAAAAATGTTAAGATATTGTTGTTCAATTGATTGTCATATAGATCAAGAATTTCTAGATTCCTTAACTTAGAAAGCTTCTTGAAACCTGCAAAATGTACAATTATTAATTTAATGTTGGACCTACACATAAATATTATGATGAAACAATAAGGAAACAGATTTCTATAAGTAAAAAAAGGACAGTTATACCGTCAGCATGATTAGATGCTTGGAAATTGTTGTTGTTTAGATATAGGGACTTGAGAGATGGAAGCTCACTAAAAAATGTTAAGATACTATTGTTCAATTGATTGCTAGATAGATCAAGAATTTCTAGATTCCTCAACTTAGAAAGTTTCTTAAAACCTGCAATATGTAAAATTATTAATATAATTTTGGAGCCACACATAAATATTATGATGAAACAATAAAGGAACATGTTTCTATAAGTAAAAAATGGACAGTTATACCGTTAGCATGGTTAGATGCTTGGAATTTGTTGTTGCCTAGATATAGGGACTTGAGAGATGGAAGCTCACTCAAAAATGTTAAGATACTATTGTTCAATTGATTGCTAGATAGATCAAGAATTTCCAGATTCCTTAACTTAGAAAACTTCTCGAAACCTGCAAAATGTAAAATTATTAATCTAATTTTGGAGTCACACATAAATATTATGATGAAACAATAAGGGAACACGTTTCTATAAGTAAAAAATGGACCGTTATACCGTTAGCATGGTTAGATGCTTGGAATTTGTTGTTGCCTAGATATAGGGACTTGAGAGATGGAAACTCACTCAAAAATGTTAAGATACTATTGTTCAATTGATTGTTATATAAATCAAGAATTTCTAGATTCTGTAACTTAGAAAGCTTCTTGAAACCTGCAAAATGTGCAATTATTAATTTAATTTTGGAGTCACACATAAATATTATGATGAAACAATAAGGGAACACGTTTCTATAAGTAAAAAATGGACCATTATACCATCAGCATGGTTAGATGCTTGGAAATTGTTGTTGCCTAGATATAGAGACTTGAGATAGGGAAGCTCACTCAGAGATGATAAGATACTATTGTTCAATTGATTGCTATTTAGATCAATAATATCCAGATTCCTCAAATTAGAAAGCTTCTCCAAACCTGCAATATGTAAAATTATTAATTTAATTTTGGGCCATACATAAATATTAAGATGAAACAATAAGGGATCAGGTTTTTATAAGTAAAAAAATGTACAATTATACTATCAGCATGGTTAGATGTTTGGAATCCGTTGTTGGCTAGATATAGACACTTGAGGGATGAAAGCTCACTAAAAGATGATAGGACACTATTGTTCAATTGATTGCTTTTTAGATTAAGGATTTCCAAATTCCTCAACTTAGAAAGCCTCTCAAAAGCTGTAAAACAATTTCTTGCAACATTCAAGCTATTTACTAGTTCAGTATTGGGAGCCACAAATATAAAAATTTGAAACTATACCAAAAAATAATAAAGATGAAATGATAAACAAATGGTTTTTTTTTTTTTTAAGCAAAAGATGAAATTAAGTTGGAAGACAGATTAAAACCTTCATTTTCCATACAACCAGCTATTCCATTTCCAGCCAAATGGAGACTCTTCAATTCCACAAATGGAAGAAACAAAGACGCATTTAGATACATGACATTCTCCAATCCCATAAAGCCATTTGGTGTATACATGTAACCATCAAATTCTTCTTCGAACCATGGGTAATTGAGATTGAGTGTTATGATTCGTCCAGAAGTAGAGTTGCACTCAATCCCCTCCCATTGACAACAATCTAAATTTTGCTCTCCTCTCTCCCAGTTTTTTAGGTGCGCAGATTTAGTGAAGAAAGGCTTGAGTTGGAGGAGAGCAGTTCTCTCTTGGTCCCAACACCCTTGGCACCACAGCCCTTCTAATAAGAAGAGTGTAAATAACACATAAATTAA